CAGCCTATAAAAAGTATTAAGAATGTACATGCAGCCCTTGAACAGGGGCGTGGGGGAAGAGTTCTCTTGAAGGAAGAAAGAAACTGAGGAAAGCGGTACAAGAAGAGAGGGATGTATGCACGGAGTCTCTGCCATCAGCGTATACAGTCAGCTCTGGGTCTGATGCAAGGCAACTCAGGCAGGCTGTGGATTAGTTGTGTGTGGTGGCAGGCATGCTAGTGCTGCTTCTGTGGTCTGTCATTTCAGTTCTAGGACCATTTTTACAGCAATGCGTGAATGCAGCAGTACTGCCTTCAGCATCAGTTCACGCCTAGAAGCGTTTGACTGCTTTCGCCAGACCGGTAGATTGGTTCTTAAGTCTTCACCTAATTTCATGCAGAAAGAGCTCTGGTGTCATTGCAGTTTTGCTGCTGCTAAGAGTGCTTAGGGATGCACTGTCAGCATCCCCAAGTGCCTTTATGTGGGGTCAGCTTGGATCCAGAAGGAGCCAGAATGAATATTCCAGCAGTATGAGCTGACTCTTGTGGTATCAATTGGATGCCTCTACCGTGTATTCTGCAGTGTTTCAGGTTCGAGGGTAGGGTGTTAGTAGTGTACAGTATTAAATACTTGTTTTCTGGACATTTCTACTTTGGCTAACAGTGAGATGCTGGACACGCGAAAAGTATGCAGAAGCAGGCTTGACTGCTAGGTTTTGCTAACTTTATTTAGAGCTAACTGAGCCAGATTTAAACACACTATTCAGTTTCATTTGTGAGTGTCTGCTCTGTGCTTTCTGTAGCTATAGCTCTTCTGAGTTTTTCCACTATTTAGTATATTCCAGTCCTTGTTATCTAACGTAATTGAGAATTGACAGCATAGAGTGACAGGGAATACTATCAGGATAAGGATGGGTACAAAGGAGGAGAAGACTGCACGCAAATCCTCCTTTTTGTAGAGGAGGATTAGGGAGTAAGAAGGCTGTAACTTGCTGTTCTCCATTTTCTTAAGACTATGTAAAGCTTGAGAAAGGGAATGGAATGAATAGAAACTAATTTAAAGAAGTAGGAGAGACAGCTTCTGTAAGTTTAGCTTGTAAAAGTTGCAGTTCTTAACCAGAAATATACATTCATTAATTTACAGTTTATAGTTCACAATTGTGCTTAAGCGCCAAACAGTGACCAGAATATTGATATAATGGGAACATTAAAGACTCCATAAGAAATCAGTTAATGTCTTCTATCTCAGTCTTAACTAGTTAAGATGTAATAGAAATTTAGTACTGATTCTTAGGTTTTTCTCAAAAGAAATACAAAAGGTCAATTTAAAACAAGCCTTAAAAAGATGAAAATTTTCTTTGTTAATGCCAACAACCAAAAAAAAGAAGCTCTTGGTTCTTTGGTACAGCTCACATTCAAGTTTGTATCAAAACTTTTTTGGTTTGTAATTAGCAATGCTGGGCTACAGTATTGCAGGTTTCTTCATATACATTCCCAAGGCACCAGCCTTTCTTTCAAATTTTGTGTCAGTACTTGTCAGTAGAACTCCCTTGCACACCTCCTGCAGCACTGTGTCTTTTCAGTGCATGGAAGTTTGCTCTTGAATCATTGTGTTTGCAATAAGTGTTACTGTGAAATAAGTTTGCCCTACTTGGAACTAAGGAGCCTGTATATCTGCAGAGTTACAAGCGCTGCTGACAAGCGTTTTTGTCAAAGACCATTATGTTGAGCAGCTTTCCAGCAAGACAAGCTGCTGTGCCTGTGTAAAGTCTTTCCTCTATGAGATTGAGACTCACTTTAATGATAGATTTGGGATGTCTTCTATGTGTGTAGCTGACACTTGATAAATATCTTCTCATCTGTTTTCGTATTTTCCCTCTAGCCTCAAAAGCTAAATAAACGATTAGCCTTAGTTTTTGTTTAATCCCCCCTCCCCCAAACTTACAAAAAGCATCACTTGTAGTCTTGCTGAGATAGTCATCATCATAAAATTTGTATTTGAGAGGCTCACATCACATTTAAAAGGTTTGAGAGGCCTGATGTTTTAGAAAGCAGCCACACCACTTCTACCTAATAAACTGAGTTCCCTGTCATTTTTCTGGAAGTAAAATTTTGTCACGTGACAGTAAGTTGTGTAGTTTAGGATGTAATCAATAGCTTGCCTCTCTGACTGCAAAGATGAAAGACTTCTTCGGCTCTTGTAGCATTCTAGCAGCAATTTCTTCTTGTACTTTGGATTGATGCCTTCTATAAGTTAGAAGTTCTATAGTATATACTTTTGCATGTCTTTGTATGTCAATGCCTTTTGCAATGGAATTTGTTACTTTCAATTTAAAGTCAAAACAAGGCGGTAGGATAAAAAGGTTGTATGTGTATTACTGCAAAGGCAGAGAACTTATTGGAGAATTTTATGAAAATACATCTTTTACCTGGACATTAATAACTCCTTTGAGTTTATTAGCTGATTTTATTTCATCGAGTATTTTTGAATTCTAGGAGAGTTTTAGATTGATTGTTTTTAATGTTGTATGATTAGTAGTGATATAATGACAGCTGAATGGGATGTTATTTTCCTGTTCTGCACGTTCTTTTGAATTCAAATCATAATGACTAAGCAGAGAGAACAAACTCGAGAAGGAAAAGGATTTTTACAAGGCACTGTAGATATCCTGAGGAGAAAGTAACTTGATTTTTGTTAAATTCAAGTTAGTTTTGTTTGCAAAAATGAACCATTTGTAATTTTGAAAAACAGCATTTTTGTTTTGGAGTTATCCAAATAGTCTGTCCTGGCAGTTTAAGCAGTCAAATTAAAAACTGCCGATCATAAAGAAGGGTCTTAGTGCTGAATAAGTGTTTTTCAAGTCAGGAAATTTTTGGATGCAGCTTGCTTTAACAACCTTCTGTAGGGCTTCAGGCCAACGTGTGCAATTAGTTGTCTCTCCAGCTGCAAGGTTGGAAAGAGGTGGGTGTGCATGAGCAGTTGAGAGGAACTACTCAGAGCGAAGAGTAAGAAGTCTAAATCATCTATGATTACCAGTTAAACCAAATTTTCTCTAGAGAAAAACAAGGACACAGAACAAGCAGAACTGCTTGTAGATAACGACAAGCTCACTTAGAGGAGAACTCTTTAGATGGCAACTGGACTTTGCAACAGCTTGTATGTCCTGTGGCTAGTGTTTACTTAAGAAATATAAAATGTTTAGTGCAGATTGTTCTTTAGCAAAAATCATGATTTAGTAGGGGTACCCTAAAGTTTGCTGAAATAAGCTTAATTTTCCGTTAGTTTACTATTTGGAGTATTTCTGGTTTCCTCTGAATGTTTCTAGTACTAGCCCCTCTTTCAGTGAAGATTTAGGGTTACTAAAGTTATAAGAACATCCATTGTAAAGATAATAGCTGTAGCTCAGATGTTTCTGAGATATGTAAATCCTCACTGTTGAGGAGGTGTGCAAGAGTTTAGCTGCCATGGATAATGGTGATCAGATGGTGATGAAAGAAGAGAGAGTGAGGAGAGGAACAGAAAGTAGCAGGACAAATACACGTTTTATGCCACAGCTGTCTATAATATGTTGCTTGACTGAAGAGATCAGTAGCCTGGTTCAGTACAAGCAGATAATCAGGGGAAGGGAATTACACTATCAAGATTATTTAATATGTTCTCATCTTTTTTAGGAGGAGGGGGATTAAACATCTTTATTGTCAGTCAAAAAATGAATAGATTGTTAGCAAGGAAGAAAAATCTCAGTATTTTATAACTGTAAATCCCTGGTGTCTCCCCATTATAAGTACTGCATGCTCTTGTGGTCATCCCATCTCAAAATGTACATAGCGGAATTAGAAAGGAACGCTGCAGGTAATAAGGACGAGCACAGCAGATAACAGCACCCATGTGAAGAAGACTTGAATAGCTTTAGGTAAGATATTTCAGCACGGAAAGGGGACATCTATAAAGGTTATGAATGGCAGGGAGAAGATGAATAGGAAACGATCCTATAGACCCTGCTATTTCGAATGCTTGAAAAACAATGTGAAGCTCCCAGTGTATTGTTCTGATTTTTATTACATTGGAGAAAAGTGCCAAAAAGTATTAGTGACTGAGGATAGTGTTCATTCTTTTTATTGTGCATGTCTTTACTGAAACTTCCTCAAAACTAAATTATTACACTGCTTAAATTCATTCATGTAGTTACCAGAGAATCAGTCATAATGTTGTCTATGATGGAAGTTCTTGCGTTTATGTATTTACTTAAAAGTTTACTTCACAGTCTGTTTACGTTCTAGGAATGCTAATGTTTTGTTAACTGGAATTTTAGTTTGAATTTTATCCATATTTCGAACTGATTTTTTTTCTACATAACTTACTGTTATTATATGTTTGCTGTAATTTGTGTCCTATCCAAATCAGGTTTCAGCTGGTCTTACTTTTTCAATGTTAATTTTCAGAGCTCATAAATCCCTTTTAGAATGAAAAAAATCACTGTCTTAATTTCTTGATGCATTTGCTATTTTTTTAAATAAATTCATTTTAGTTAATATTTTTGTTGTTGTGGTACGGAAGCTGAACAATAGAAAAGCTGAATAGATAGTTGCAGATATTTCTGTACTCTGTTCATATGCATATTTCTCTTCTGAAGGGTAAAGAGGTTTAACCAGTATTAAGATCAGATTTTAAATGTGCACTAGAAGAGAATTACTTTTCAGGTATAAAGGCAATGAAAAGGCATATAAGGATGGCTTGTAACCATTTAATTTAATTTACCAGGCACTTTACGACCCATTTCTCCATGGCGTTGGCTTTTTTCAGTCTTGGTTCCACTAGTGATTGCTACACAGGGTTTTAAGAAGAAGAGTCTTGATCACAGTGGTGCTTTGGGAGGTATGTTTTTTTTCCGAAGCTATTAAACTAAATACTTAAAGAACTAAATTAAGATCCTTTTAAATGTACCTAATGTTCTTGTAACACTTTCCTAGCTAGTCCTATGATAACAAAAATATAAGTATAAACATACATATCTTGAATTCATACTTATTTTTCTTATACCTGTTTAAGTAATCAAGTTAGTTTGTGCTGCTGTTCATGACTCATTTGATTAATATTGTCATTAGATGTATATAATTCTGGAAGATTGTTTTAAACTTCAGTACAGTATTCATTTAAAACTGCATGTTTTGTATAGTAAAATGATTTGCAGATACGGTCATGAGACATGACGTAACATGTACTTTGGACCCTGCAGTATCATATATATTTCGGGGAAAACTGCCTGGTACGGTTTGGTTTGGTTTTGTTTCGTTTTCACGTATGTAGAGATAATAGAGTGAAACAGGCAGTGGTAAAGAAATACCTTAAAACTGAGGCATGTCAGCAGCCAACCTACCTGGTAGGAACCCAGTAAAGATAACGTGGTTCTCCTTTTTGTAAATACAAGCAGTTCTCAGATGGTTTTTGCTTCCCCAAAATAAGATGGAAATTAAGTTTGTACTCCACTTCAGGCAGTTGACTGTTTCAAGAATGTTTTTCTTGGCCAGATGAAAAACCCGCCAAGGTAGTGTACAGTAGCGTTCATTAAATTCTGATGAAAGTCTTCTGATGAGGTGATTGACCCTTGTCTCATGAAGTTGTATGAATTGATGGTCAATAGAAAGAAACAGAACCTCCAATCTTTTCCTCCCGTCTTGCAAATTTTTTCTTTTATCTGTGAGTTAAGAGGTAGTAATTTTCTGATTAGAAACCATCTTTGCTTTTCTGCTACGTTTTTACCTTGTAACGTGTATCAGCTCTGCTAGACAGCTCATGTTGGCATGTGGTTTAAGTGCTGCCAATTTTCTTTCAGTACATAAGAATTGTAATATTACGATGGGCAGTGAGAATTGGACCTCCCAGTCAAAAGTGTGGAGGAGGAAGTAAGTAGGAAGTACATCTGGGAGCTCAAATGCTTAAGAAAACTACAGAAAGAAAAAGATGGCAAGAAATGAGAAACATGAAAATGAAGAACTGAAGGGAGAAGCAGCAACTGTTAAGATATGGAGAGGGTTTGACTAGATTATCTTAAAGAGACCCTTGAGGGGATGGGGTTTGATCCCCAAACTGAAGTTAAACTTGCTGATAGAGCTGTAGCCACAGCTGTATGTATGCTTCGCATACAGACAATTAAAATTCTTCAGGTGGGGTATGTAAAAGCTGAAGGTTATCTAATCAAAATTTTCTTATTGCTCTATCTTTCATTTTTGCACAGCATTTCTGATTCATGGCAGTACTAGAGCAGATCTTCAAAAAATAAAAAAACATAAGATATCTTTAGCACAAGATAATATTTAAGAGAAAATGTTGAAAGTAACTTTTCAGTCAAGGTGTCTCTGAAATTCTCGTTAAAGGTGTTGGGCACTTCAGCATTCTGTTATTGCATGACTGTCTTATTTTAGATTTATCATGCAGATATTATTGCTTGTATTTAAGAGATTCAAAACACTTTCATTGCTCTGCAAAGTAATAGTTACAGACTTTTTTTTGTCTTTGTAGGATTGGTGGTTGGATTTATCCTTACAGTTGCAAATTACAGTTTCTTCACTGCTTTGTTTGTATTTTTTGTTACTTCTTCAAAACTTACTAAATGGAAAAAAGATGTGAAGAAGCAAATAGATTCAGAATACAAAGAGGGTAAGGCCTAACATTAATTCCTTCAGATCCTTTGTGAAGAATAAATACTTCATGTTCCCCTTTCTTTCAAAGGGTCAGACAAGATGTCACACCCAGAATAAGGAATGCTGTTTTTTCCCCCCACCCTCATCATAAGAACTGTTAACAAGCTACTTGGCTTTTGTATCTGGTCTATTTGATAAGCAAACTAAACTAGTTTTTGTTTTGAAAATATGTCTCTCTCTTAATCAATTTTCTGAATTTGTATTTTGCTTTTGCCTGATGCCGTTGCATGTCAAGGTGTTTTACTTGAAAATACAAAAATCTGTTTTTTGTCACTTTAGGTGGACAAAGGAATTGGGTACAAGTATTCTGTAATGGCGGTGTTCCTACTGAGCTGGCCATCTTATATATGATAGAAAACGGACCAGGTGAAATTTCGATAGACTTTTCCAAGCAATACACAGCATCATGGATGTGCTTATCCCTCTTAGGAGCATTGGCATGCTCTGCTGGTGATACATGGGCTTCAGAGATTGGTAGTGTAATGAGTAAAAGCAAGCCAAGGTTGATAACAACCTGGGAAAAGGTTCCAGTAGGTGAGGTATTATCTGTCTTACATGTTCATGTCTTAATATTTTGCTGATTTGTTTTGAACTATGCATCCAGTGTAAAGTTTCAAAAAAGCCCCTAAAAAACAAACATCGAAATTCTGGGATTAGAAAATGTTAATAGGAATGCATTCTCTGAAATTCCATTTAGTCAGCTGTGGTTTTGCTGCTATCTCATTTGTGACATACAGAAGTATATAACATTCTGTGGACTAAAATCCTTCTTAGCGAATTCTGTCAGTCCTTGTTTCTGGTACTGCTAAAGTGTTTTTATTGCTGCTGATAGATGGCAGCCTGTATTCTGTATGAGTTTTTTAATCATTAAAATTTTCATCGGTAGAAGAGTATATAAAGTACATGTAAACACTGCAGAAAATTCACTTCTTAACCAAACAGCTCATTTCTTTTTACATTTTATCAAAGGTGGGTAGAATAACCTTCCTTCTCCGGAACCTTGTCTCCACAGTGGATGACATTGCTTACCGATGTGTGTATTTTGAGTCTTGCCAGTATGCTGATCTGTGTTTTAGCTCTTGTGGGACAAGATTTAAAAGCATGGACTTTTTTTAACTTTATAAGTACAACTCATTTATTTTCAGTAAGCTGACAAATATCTTCCTTTCTTTGGATTTTGCTCTTACATTTCATCAAGAATATATTTAAAAGAATCTTGGTAGACCTCTTCTGAAAGAGGTATTGTTTTAATAGCATGCACACCAGGAACTCATATGTATTGAATAAATGTCTTTTTTTCTTTTTTCCTCCAAATTTAGAGTAGTCAAATAACCAGGTGACGCTGAAAGACTAGCTATCCCATTTTGCTTAATTTTTTTAGTGTTTATTTCTAGATAACTAGCCTTAGAGACAATTAAAGTAATAGTAATACATAAGCTGTAAGGGTGCAGGTTAAGCTTCTTGGCAGCATAATAGGAATTGTACATAAAAGCTATGGTAAGAGAGTCTTGCAGGTAAATGGGGGAAAGATGACTATCAGCACTGTTCTGTTTTCATATAAAACAATTTAACAAATAAAACTCTTTTCTATTAGAAAAGAGGTTTGTAAATTAATGTAATTGTATTTGATTTAGGTACGAATGGAGGAATTACTTTAGTGGGCCTGTTCTCAAGTTTACTTGGTGGCATGGCAGTAGGTGCAGCCTACTTCGTAACACAGCTCATTTTTGTGAGTGATCTGGATGCGTCTGCGCCACAATGGCCAATTATTGTGTTTGGTGCAGCAGCTGGCTTACTGGGATCAATTGTTGATTCGTATTTGGGAGCAACGATGCAATACAGTGGTAAGATTATTCCTCTCTCTTTTTTTTTTTTTTTCCCCCCTCTCCTAGTGTAACCTAAAAATTGACTTCAAGGGCCGGGGAGTTGATTTTTAAATTGAGAAAATACAGAAATAGTAACACAAAGGCCAAAGGAAGCCAAAATGATGGACGTGATAATGAAGACAAGAGCAAGGGCAGTTGGTCCTTTATTCATATCTTCCATCCCCTTCCTTTTGCCACACTTTGATTTCAGTACATTTTTTATCTTATGTTACTGTCTTGGAGATCTCTAGTCTCTTTTAGTCATCCACAACACATTTGCAGAATCACAGAACGGTTGAGGTTGGAAGGGACCTCTGGAAATCACCTAGTCCAACCCCCCTGTGCTAGCACGCTCACCTAGAGCACATTGCCCAGGACTCTGTCCAGAAGGCTTTTGAATATCTCCGAGGATGGAGGCTCCACGACCTCTCTGGGCAACCTGTTCCCGTGCTCAGTCACCCTCACAGGCAAAAAGTTTTCGCTTATGTTCAGCTGGAGCTTTCTGTGTTTCAGTTTGTGCCCGTTGCCGCTCATCCTGTCAGTGGGCACCACGGAAAGAGTCTGGCCCCATCCTCTTTACACCCTCCCTTCAGATATTTAAATGCACTGATAAGATTCCCCCGCAGTTAGCTTGGAAGAAAGCATTGCTGCTTCCTCCTTATAGCTAATTATATACGTAATTATGGTAGCATAAGAGGAAATGTCAACTTAATGTTATCCGTTCCCTCAGACTAAGTTGTCGCTGCAGAATCTCCATTTCTTACTTTGAAGATTTAGTGATAGTCTCAGCTTTAGTAATTAAAATAGAAGAGATCCAAGTAAACGTGCACAATATTTTACGTTCTGTTATTGCACTGTTTAGTAGAGTACTGTTTCCTGCAAGTTAAGCCACAAACTAGCTGTGATTTCTCTAAAAGGCTGCTTGTCGCTGTTGTCCACTTTCTTTAAAAGATTGCTGGCTGGCTGATTCTATATTATTTCAGTATTTATTTCTGCATTGCCCTCCAGAATCATTGACTCTCAATGAATGCAACAGACAACCTTCAGGTGAAACCCTAAACATAGCCTATGATTAAAGGCTTTTTCTTTTTCTTTTTTTTTTTTGAACGCTATATTTGACACTATTCTACTCAACAGATGGTTTGCAGACAGAACTTCAATTGTTGGATTTTGTTGTCGATACCCTTATTTTGTTGTAAGTGAGTATATAAATTTGCAGATTACCTGCCTGAGAGATACAAGTCCTTTAAAGCCACCATCTCTGAAGCATATCACAGTGAGAACTACAAACTGGCATCGATGCGGGGTTTCCAGCAGTTTTTATGTTCTATTCTTTGTACTTCTTTGAAAGTGGAATGTTTAACCACTTGAGGAATTTTTAACT